GAGATCTAGTATAGAGCTGTATGAATGGGTAAATGAGGCACAGATTGTAGCGCAGAGCTTTGAGTATCTCAATAAGATCAAAAGGTGCTATATAAGTACAGTCCATTTACAAACCGGATTCCAAAAAAGTTGGGACACTAAACAAATTGTGAATAAAAACTGAATGCAATGATGTAGAGGTGCCAACATCTAATATTTTATTCAGAATAGAACACAAATCACAGATCAAAAGTTTAAACTGAGAGTATGGATCATTTTAAGGGAAAAATCTGTTGTTTCCAAATTTCATGGCATCAACAAATCCCCAAAAAGTTGGGACAAGTCCATTTTTACCACTGTGTGGCGTCCCCCCTTCTTCTTACAACACTCAACAGACGTCTGGGGATAGAGGAGACCAGTTTCTCCAGTTTAGAAATAGGAATGCTCTCCCATTCATGTCTAATACAGGCCTCTAACTGTTCAATTGTCTTGGGCCTTCTTTGTCGCACCTTCCTCTTCATGATGCACCAAATGTTCTCTATAGGTGAAAGATCTGGACTGCAGGCTGGCCATTTCAGTACCTGGATCCTTCTCCTACGTAGCCATGATGTTGTGATTGCTGCAGAATGTGGTCTGGCGTTATCATGTTGAAAAATGCAGGGTCTTCCCTGAAAGTGATGACGTCTAGATGGGAGCATATGTTGTTCTAGAACCTGAACATAGTTCTCTGCATTAATGGTGCCTTTCCAGACATGCAAGCTGCCTATGCCACAAGCGCTCATGCAACCCCATACCATCAGTGATGCAGGCTTCTGATCGGAGCGTTGATAACAACTTGGGCTATCCTTGTCCTCTCTGGTCTGGATGACATGGCATCCCAGTGTTCCATAAAGAACTTCAAGTTGTGACTCATCTGACCACAGAACAGTCTTCCATTTTGCCACACTCCATTTTAAATGACCCCTGGCCCAGTGCAAACGTCTGAGCTTGTGGAGCTTGCTTAGAAATGGCTTCCTCTTTGCACTGTAGAGTTTCAGCTGGCAACGACGGATGGCACGGTGGATTGTGTTCACTGACAATGCTTTCTGGAAGTATTCCTGAGCCCATTCTGTTATTTCCTTGACAGTGGCATTCCTGTTTGAGGTGCAGTGCCGTTTAAGGGCCCGGAGATCACGAGCATCCAGTAGAGTTTTACGGCCTTGACCCTTACGCACAGTGATTGTTCCAGATTCTCTGAATCTTTTGATGATGTTATGCATGGTTGATGATGATAACTTAAAAGTCTTTGCTATTTTACGCTGGGTAACACCATTCTGGTATTGCTGCACTATCTTTCTGCGCAACAATGGTGGAATTGGTGATCCTCTTACCATCTTGGCTTCTGAGAGACACTGACACTCTGAGAAGCTCTTTTTATACCCAATCATGTTGTCAATTGGTCTTCTAGCTGTTCATTATATGCTCAATTTCCTTTTTCCAGCCACTTATTGCTACTTGTCCCAACTTTTTGGGATTTTTTGACACTGTGAAATTTTGAATCAACATATTTTTCCTTTAAAATGTTACATTTACTCAGATTAAACTTTTGATCTGTCATCTATGTTATATTACGAATAAAATATTGACATTTGGCATCTCCACATCATTGCATTCAGTTTTTATTCACAATTTGTTTAGTGTCCCAACTTTTTTGGAATCCTGTTTGTACCATTTACCATTTTACTTTATCTCTTAATTACTTGCTTTGAAGTGAATAATAATAATAATAATAAGTGCTGTGTGTTTTCATCATTGTATGTTCTCATACAATGGCGAAATTAGTCTCTGCATTTAACCCATCGCACCTGGGATACACCCAGGTGGAGCAGTGGGCAGCTATGTAAGCACCCGGGGACTAATTGGGGATTGGGTGTCTTGGTCAGAGACACCACAACATGTGGGCATGGCTGGGGATCAAATATGGGACTTCCGGGTCCCAAGTCAGCTACGCTGCCTCTATCCCATCTCGGCCCCCTGAATTCACCTGAATCAGCTGTACTGGATCCAACAGTCCACAGCAGCCATGCCTTCACTGTTTAAGAGCATAAGGCGAAGCACATACTACGAGCTGCTAACCCAAAGAAGGCTGCTGGATCTGACAGCGTCCCCAGACATGTTCAGATAGACTGCGCACACCAACCAGCTGGAGTCATGACCGGGATGTTCAACAGGTCATTGTCCCAGTTCATGGTCCCACCCTGCCTGAAGACATCTACAATAGTCCCTATACCCAAGAAACCCCAAGTTTACAGTCTAAACGACTACTGGCCACTTGATCTCAATCCAGTGATGAAGTGTTTTGAAAAGCTGGTCATGATGAATCACATCACTTCACTCCTCCCACAAACCCTTGACCCCCACCAGTTTGCTTACAGAGCTAATAGATCCAATAAGGATACCATAGGCACAGCCTTCCATGTTTCTATGTGCGGATGCTCTTTGTAGACTATAGCTCTGCTTTCAACACCATCCTCCCCAACAAATTGGTGGACAAACTGGGGGATCTGGGATTCCACACTCCACCTGCACATGGGAAAATAGTTTCTTGTCCGACCGCAGTTGGAGTTTTCATTAGTTGTCAGTTATTATCATCATAATTATAAACACATTTGAAATATATCAGTCTGTGTGTAATGAATTAATTTAATATACAAGTTTCACTTTTTGAATGGAATTACTGAAATTAACTTTTCCATGATATTCTAATTTTATGATCTGTGGGTGCAATGACAAGAAAGCTCTATTCTACTAGATTTCCTGCCAAAGCAGCTCGACATGGATGCAGTTTCCACTGCATCATTAAAACAGAGGAATCCTAATCAATGCAATATATAATCATTAACAGTAAAAGTTTATTTTATTGCAAAATGAAATTCCACCCAGCACACAGCTTTTAGCTTTTAAATGGGGGGGGGGGGGGGGTTAGCAAATGTTTGACACAGACAAAGCAGAAAAAAATGCATTTTAGTAACGTATCGTTTCATTTTTCCCCACATAAATGAAACAATCATTTAAGTCCCTACAATTCTAAACTTATACATGCAACTAAAACATTAAATATTCTGATTAAATTATATATCAACTCTCATGAATCTTCAATTTAAGATAAGTTTTCCAGAACATTCCTCAAACAAGTAAACTGCAAATTCAAACATTTTACCAAGTAAAAACAATAAAACGCATCACCCCCCCCCCCACCCCCCTTCAGCTCCTTACAGTTCAGCCTGCTTCAATCTCCAGTTCCTTATGGGAGAAATGCAGACACATCTAAAAATATTAGAATATTGCAAAATAGTTCCAACTTTATTTTTTGTCAGTCACTTCAGAAAGTTAAATTCAAATATTACAAGGATTAATTACAGTGAAATATTTCAAGCCTTTATTTCTTGTAATTTTAATGAAATAATTAAATTTTTTTTAACAAAATTCAATCTCAGAAAATTTTAATTATTGTGAAGAGGTTGAATATTGTAAACTTCTGGTGTCACACCCTAATCAGATGATTTAACTCCTGGATATGAGCTGCAAATGTCTCAGTCCTCAAGTCCAGACACTCCTGAACCAGAGACATCGGAAGCGTCTTACCTGCTGAGGAGACCGAGAACTGGACTGTTGCTCAGTGGTCCAACATCCTTTTTTCAGATGGAAGTAAATACTGCATTTAATTTGTAAACTGAGGTCCCAGAGTCTGGAGGAAGAGAGGAGAGGTCCAGAATCCACAATGTTGAAGTCCAGAGTGAAGCTTCCACAGTCGGTGATGGTTTGGGTCCATGTCCTCTGCTGGAGCTGGTCCACTGGGTTTTCTGAAGTCCACAGTCCAAACAGCATCTAGCAGGACATTTAGAGACGTCATGCTTCCTTCAGCTGATGAGCTTTATGGAGATGCTGGTTTCATTTCCCAGCAGGTCTCAGCTCCTGCCCACTCTGACAAAGGTACTAAAAGCTGGCTGTGGAATATTCTCTTTCTCTGAGACACTGAGTTTTAGTTTTTCATCATTTGTTAAACCATAATCATCAAAATTACAAGAAATAAAGGCTTGAAATATTTCACTCTGTGCAATAAATCTATGTAATATACGAGTTTCACTCTATATAATGACTGACAAGAATACTGAACTCTTCTCATGTTCTAATTGGTTTTAGATGCATCACGGCACGCCCTTTGTTAAATTCACAAAGCTAAAGAATTAACTATTCTTTAAACATTAAATGGTGATATTTATTTGATCAGGACTGGGCAACCATTTAGAGTTCAAGGAAAATACCAGAAAGGGTATCGGAGGTAGAAGAGGAGGAGTGGGAGAGTTTGAGAGTGAGGTAAGGAAGACAGAGCAGCGACAAAGCTTCTCCACATAAAGGCTAATCTCTCTTCTCCCTGAAAGCAAGAATAAAAATTAAAAACAATAACAATAATCAAAAAACTGATCCAGAGACAGTTTTTGTTCAGACAGTAAGTGGTCCATTAGAAAACATTAACTGTATCTTATCAGGATTTTTTTTAAGGCGGTTCCTTCCACAAGTGGATTTTTATACAAGAAAAGTATTAATGAACAAAAGGATGAATTTGAAAATCACTCATGCAAATTTCTGACTTTTCAGTTAAAAGAAACTCCCGTTGTTCATTATTAGATAAATGCCTTTCTAGAAAAGTTTTTAAAAAAAACGTACAGTATCAAATTAGCCGTTGATCCATGTAATAAAAAAAGTTTCTTTAAAGAATTTATTTTGTTAAAGAGGTGTGGTCAGTTTTGTAAAGGTTGTCGTCTAAAAACTAATGCTCCATTAAGAAAATCTATATATTACAGCACAAAACAGAAAATCACAGATAAAATTAAACTTTTCTTCTTTTGACCCGTCACAAAGGAAAAACGCAAGAAGAAATTACTGGTTTACGTAGCACTTCACAAAGATGAAAGCAGTTCTTTAAAATCCAAACTGCACGACACTGATGAAGTTGGATTGTCATGAAAGCAATGGGACTTCTCACTGCGCCTCATTGGAAGCCCTGGTTTGTCCGTGAACCCTTGAAAACAAGGATACTATCTGAAAACTCCCACGCTGATTGACAACGACACCTCTGGCTTCCTCAGTTTGGTTTGTCCGGCGCCGTTGCAGGCTGCAGACTCTCTGAAAACAACAGTTCAACATGTCAGCAAAACTATCTGGAATTAAAATGAGATGGAAATAAAGCAAACGGAAAGCAGCCATGTGGACTGACTGCTACCTATTCTTTTCTTTATTCCACAAGAAAAACATCTGTAAGCTGATGGCTCTCACCCTTTCCTGCGTTGCACTGCCTGTTCCCTGAGCCTCTGCTGACCCTGCTCGTCCTCTGCAGTGATAAAGTCCCTGTTGTTGTCAATCAAGAGATTCTACAGAAAACAAACCACCAAGAATAGATTTAGAAGATCTCATAATAGAAACCAGAAGTCCGTAAATAAACTGGTGTAGTACCTTGATGCCGATAACGTCGCCATCTTTGAGGTGGAATGGTGGTCCTAGAAGCGATTCTGCCTTTTTCTTCTTCTTTTTTTTGGAAATATGCTGGGTCTGGCAGCAAAATTCACAGAATACAGTAATTACCTATAGGGCTGAACAATTAATTGCATTTGCGATAATATCGCAATATGATAAAACGAGATGTTCTAATGGTAAAAGCTGCGATTTGACTGGTCACATGATCTGGTTACGTGACTTGCGAGTGAGCGGAACAAAGCAGAGCAGGGAGCAGAAGTCAACACTGCGCTTTAACTGGTTGCACAGTGGCGTCAGGCTCGACAGAAGCTGATGCATCTGAAAGTTTGGTACCGAAGAGCGGCAGCACGTCCGCTGTTTGGAACTATTTTGGTTGTAAAAAAGAAGACGCTGCACGACGACGTGCATTGTGCAGAACCTGCCTTGCTGCTGTTGCTACCTCTCGTGTCAACACCACAAATGCACATGAAGCACTTAAACAAACACCACAAAGCCGTTTATGATGGTTGCATGGCTAGAACACCAACAACCAGTGCTTCAACTTCAAGTAAGCAAAGTAGCAGAGACAGGGATCACTGACCGAACTGTTCAAAGGTATTAATCCGTATGAACATAATTCAAAATGGGATGCGGAAATAACTCAAACAATAAGAGTTAAGACATGATGCCCATTAATACAGTGACCAAGCCTGGGTGTACCTTTGGTAAACACAATGGATAATATGTACAGAATGTCCTCGTGCACACATAGCCAAGTTGCTATCCCAGAGCTACACAAAATTAAATTCAAATGTGAAAGCGTTGCAGCAGAGCTGAAAACAGTGGGGGGGTTTTAAACAACTGAATCATTTTTATTTATTTTTTGTGTTCGTTGAAAAATATATGAGAAGAAACATTGAAAAATAATCTCATCTTAAATCGCAATACTAAAGTAAAAAATTGCAATTGGAATATTTTCCAAAATCGTTCAGTCCTGATTACCTAACGAATATTACCTGAAAATGCAGTGACCTAAGCATTGTTCCTGTCTCATGTTCAACCATCTTCCTTCACTCAACCCCCAAAACCAATTTCTTTGCAAGGAATTATTCCTAAAATTACCCAGTTGGACATTTGTTGCCATGTGTGTTTCTCTGGCTGATGTTTGGCCAGCAGCAGAGCATCGGGTGAGAGACCATAGTGTGCAGCTAGACATGTGTACAGAGAGCGAGGGGAAGAATCTTGGGATGCATCCCAAACCAGATCCTCTGAAGGGTAGAAATGCTTCTCCCCTGGAACTCCCATCTTAACATTCAGCAGTATCTGCTTAGGCCTGGAAAAAAAAAAGAAGGGAAAAAGCAACATTTTATGCATAAATTAAAATTAAATAAAAACAACAACAAAAATACAGTGGTGCTATAAAACGTACCCAAGATCTTCCCCCTTTAGTAGTTGCTGCACACAAATGTCCGTACCACTGGTCAGTTTCAATTTCCTGAGTGAAAGGAAAACAAAACGCATCAACAGAAGCTGCCGTCAATGTGGGACAAACATTTAATAAATAATAAAAAAGGGTTAAGACCTGAGTGTAACTCTCTGTCCTCGAAGAATACGAGCCAGCCTCCGTCCTTCCATCTGCCACACGCGAAGAAACCCAGAGGTCGGTACAAACATGTCCTGAAGCATCGGCAGCGTCAAGGCCTGACAGATCAGCACGGGAGCATGACAGAGAGTAAATCACAGTCACATAAGAGGAATCTTTGCTCTAAAGCCACTTCATTTTAAAAAGCAGTGGCGCGCACGAGTTCATGCGAGTACAGATTCAGTCAGAGCAATTCAAAATCAATTTCTGATGGCACAAGTTTCTGCCCATAGAGGTATAAAAGGAATGTTCATGAAATGTCTCGGGTTGAGGAGACTGGGCCCAATCTTAGCCTCGTTTTAAGAGCCTGGTAAAAATCTGATGCAGGAGACCTGACCTATATGTATAATGTACTTTTATCCAACAAGGTTGAGTCAGGTCTTCTTGACGGCTTCTTCATTGTTGAAACGTTTAGTCTTTTATCCAAAAGACTTCATCAGTCTGAGGAGCTGCACCAACCTCAGCCTTATAACAGAACCTTCTCATAATGGATCATCCAGTTTGTTGATGACCAACAAAACCAGATGTTCACATGCAAAAGGGAGGACCATCAGCCCAACAGTGGGTTGTCCTGACAATTGATCATTAGTGCCCTGATGACCGCTTGCTATTCAGAGGCCTCCACCCTTGTTTAATGATGGAGTCATTTGCATGTGAACAACTAGTTCTGACTGTCATCAGCAAACTGGTTGATCCACTATTTTAAGACTGAGTTTGTTGCAGCTCAAACTGAAGAAGTCTTTTTGATAAAAGACGAAACGTTTCTGTCCATAAAAGACAGAATTTCTTGGTGCAGCCAGGGGGTGGAGGGAGTCCGGTCCAGTGGCCTCAGGATTCCATCTCTGCTCTTTGCAGGTGATTTGGTCCTGTTTGTGTCATAGTGCCGTGATCTTCAGCTCTCACAGGAGCAGTTTGCAGCAGAGCGTGAAGCGGCTGGGATGAGAATCAGCACCTCCAAATCTGAGGCCATGGCCCTGAACCGGAACAGGGTGAATTGCTCTCTTCAGGTCCAGGGTGAGGTTCTGCCTCAAGTGGAGGAGTTCAAGTATCTCAGGGTTTTGTTCATGAGTGAGGAAAGAATGGAGCGTGAGATTGGTATATGGACTGATGCAGCATCTGCAGTATTGTGGACTCCGTGCCGGTCCGTTGTGGTGAAGAGGGAGCTGAGCTGTAAGGCAAAGTTCTGTTAACAGGTGGGTTTACGTTCCTACCCTCACCTGTGGTCACGAGCTCTGGGTAGTGACCAAAAGCATTAGATAGTGGATACAGGAGGATGAAATGAGTTTCCTCTGCAGGGTAGCTGGACTCTCCCTTAGAGACAGGGTGAGAAGTTCAGTTATCAGGAGAGACTCGGAGTAGAACCGCTGCTCCTCCACATCGAGAGGAGCCAGTTGAGGTGGTTCATCTGGGATGCTGCCTGGACGCCTCCCTAGGGAGGTGCTTCGGACATGTCCGACTGAGAGGAGACCCCGGGGAAGACCCAGGACACGATGGAGAGACTACGTCTCTCAGTTGGCCTGGGAACACTTTGGGGTCCCCCCCCAGAAGAGCTGGAAGAGGTGGCTGTGGAAAGAGATGTCTGCACCTCCCTGCTCCACCTGCTGCCCCCGAGATCTGACTTTGGAATAAATGGAAGATGATGGATGGACGAAATGTTTCAACAAAGAAGAATCTGTCCAGAGGACCGGGCTCAACCTTGTTAGATTGATCTACCTGGATGATAGAGCAGCATCAGAACAAATGTACTTCTGTGATTTTTTATTGTTTTAGTGGTTTCTATGAGTCTGGAACTGGTGCTGTTGCCTTCTTGGCCAGGGATCCCTTCAAAAAGAGTTCTTGTTGTCTCAACAGGACTCACCCGATTAAATAAAGTGTAAATAAATAAAATAAAGGCGAGGAGCAGATGATTTTTTTTTTTTTAATTCTCCTTTGATATGTAGAATTCTAAAACTGAAACAAGGTGTACCGTATTTTTCAGATTATAAGGCGCATTAAGCGAAATAAATTCACTTTGACAGATTTGAGCGCCGTGTGCACTGGATTATAAGGCTCACTGTCGATTTTTGAGAAAATTAAAGTATTTTAACTGCACCTTAATAGTCCAATAAATACGGTATTCTTTCTTTTTCGTCAATGAGTGCAGCTTTTAGGAAAAGCAGCTGATTGTACAAACTGGCCTGCTGCAGTCCAGACCCATTATCAATTACAAACATTTGGCACATTATAAAATAAAATATAAAAATATGACAAAGATGGCCTTGAGCTGTAGAGCACAAAGAAAAGATCTTATTGTCAAACTAAAGTAATTAGTTGTCTTTATTCCCAAACTCTGTGTTTTCTCCTTTTTGACAACTAATATTTATATTTGTGCATGATTCAACTGAATCTTGTCCTAAAAAAGTTAGATAATCATTGTTTTGTCATTTTGCAATTATATTTTACACAAAACCCAAGCATTATCTAAACAGCTTTCATAAAGTAAAACAAAAAAGGTCTTGATTGTGTTTACTTACTGATGGTTAAAACAGTTACAATAAAACTCGGCAGAAAAGATTGACATCTCCTTACTGGAAGCTTTACAGATTACACAGAATCCAGAACTGTACCTGAGTTTTGAGCTCGTCCAGCGTGGCTTCATCGGATATCTCAACCTGCCCCACGTTTCTCAGCTTTGTGTTCCCAGCACAGACAGGAGGTGACCGGATGTGCGTTTCATCTGCAGTCACCTCTGAAGGACCATCAGCGGTGTGATTAAAATCTGCCTCCACATTTCTTGGATCCACAAACAACCAAACAGACAGTTTGAGAAAGCCCTGAGAGAGAAAACAAACAAAAAAAGGACAGAAGTCACAAAAGGAAGCTCTGAAGTGATGTTAATTTAAGGCCCTGTACACACGTAGCCTGGTGTTTGAAAAAACGAATATCTGCGCAAAAAAATATCGCCGTACATACATGTTCGGATAGAGAAAATGATGTCTACATGAACCCGGTGATGTTCACCACAGAGCGTTGTAAAGAATATGCCCAACCCATAGGAGGCAGTGTAGTGCAAAGGTGAAACGTATATCAGCCAATCACAACCCTTCAAAGCAACCACAACTTCCTGTTAGTATTGAATCATGGCGCCTGGAGGTTCGTTTGTGTGGACAGACCGACTTTGTAATTCCATCTGTTGGAGCAGTTGTGCTTGTAAAAACAAGCAAGCAAAAATTGTCTGAACCAGCGTTACAATTAGTACTTCCCTAAACGCAGTCATTTTCCCTCCGAATGAATGGGCAAACAAAAACAATTGTCGCACATGTGACGTCAGCACCGCGCTGCACCATCTGTCGCAGACATAATGCGCATATCTCCGGTTCCGAAAGTCCACACGCAAACCCGAAAGAGGAGATTTCTCAAATCTCCACTTTGGTCGGAGTTTTTGTTATTATTCGTTTATAGTTACATCAACCGGAGTTCACGTGTGGATGAAAGGCCACACCGCATGATATTCGGTTTTCCTGATATCCGGCTACGTGTGTACAGGGCCTAAAACATCATAAATGTTCCAGTACCTTTGGAGGCAAGAGTCCCTCTGTAACCACCAACGTCTCTCCGTTGCTGATCTTCAGCTCTGACAGAGAAGCCTCCTTGAAATAAAAGCTTTGTTGTTAACACACAAACACAAAGCTTAAAAACATTACATTCTTCTTAAGTTTCTTTCAGCTGATGTGGCAATTGTTTTACACCAGATTCCCTTAATGACGCAACCTGGACTCAAACCCGCAACCCCAGGATTCCAAGAACGCGGCACTGACCACCGAGCTACCACAGCCATGTTATAACAGACTTTGTTTTACACAGTAAAAACGGAGAAAACACAGTTTGTAAAGATATAATTTGACAGCATCTGTATTTCTCCTTGCAGCTGTTACAAAGCTTCTGAAAAAACTAAACATTTAGGCTAATAAAATGTTTTGAATATCATCGTGCAACCTGAAAATACGTTTGACTGTTTGTCTACAATGCTCAGCCCTACTGAGAAGTTTATGAACTGATGAATTTTGAGAGATGTTAAATGGGTTATATCATACAACTTACATGGTTTAGGTTTAGTATTAACAGTAAGTTAAGCTGTTTACAAGACAGTGGTGAGACCAGCTATGTTGTATGGTCTGAAGACAGAGACATGGACAAAAAGACAGGAGACAGAACTGGAAGTAGCAGAAATGAAGATGTTGAGGTTCTCCTTAGGAGAGACAAGGATGGAGAAGATTAGGAATGAAATCAGAGGTACAGCACAGGTTGAACAACTGGGAGATAAAGTTAGAGACCAGACTGAGATGGTTTGGACATGTCCAGAGGAGGGACAGTGGTTTGGACATGTCCAGAGGAGGGACAGTGGGTATATTGGTAGAAGGATGTTAGAAATGCAGCTGTCAGGAAAAAAGACAAAGAGGAGATATATGGATGCAGTTAGAGAGGACATGGAGGTAGTTGGAGTGAGGACAGAGTGAGATGGAGGAGGACGACTCAATGTCAAGACCCCTGAAGAAAGAAAACCCTAAATGGTAAATGGACTGTATTTATATAGCACCTTTCTATCTGATCAAGATACGGGTACTCAAAGCTCTTTACACTACAATGCATGCCCTCATTTACCCATTCACACAGCACTCCACTATTTCTGCTCAAAATAAGAAATAGAAGAAGAAACAGTCATTTAAGCTATGAACAAAACAAAACTCTTCATTTCAAGCTATATGTAAAGGTTATTCCATATTATGGCAGCACGATGGCTCAGTGGTTAGCACTGTTGCTTCACAGCAAGAAGGTCCTGGGTCCAATCCCCGGTTGGAGCTGGGGTCTTTCTGTGTGGAGTTTGCATGTTCTTCTCGTTGCTTGCGTAGGTTTTCTCCCACGGACCTAAAACATGTATGTTAGTCTTCCTTCAGGCCCAGGCCTCTCTTGTAAAAGAGATCTGTGATCTGTGTGGGATTTGCCTGGTTAAAAAATTTTAATAATTATAATAATAATAATGGACCTCGTTTTTGTTTTCAATAAGACTTCTTTAGTTACTTGTGAGGTTAAGACATCCGTCCTTGGGTTATGCATTTTCAAAACATGAACAGATACGGTCTCTTGTAGTCTTACATTGTCAAGTATTTAAAGTACATGAAAGTACTGCCAGCTTTCAATTTCAAGTAAAAAAAAAAAAGAATCTAAAAAAACTGGTCACATGATATGGTTTATAATGATTTTCTTACTCAAAACTTTTCAGAGATTAATGGGGTTCTGTGATTGAAGAGGGACTGCTCCGATCAAGACAGTTTTATCTAAAGATAAAGTCAAACCCTCAGACAATGTTGTATTTTTTGTATTTCTGCAGGATCAATAAAGTTCTATCTTATCTTATCTTATTCATGTGTACATCTGAGGGGACAGGAAGACATAAAAACTGCCAGAAAAATACTGCTTCCACAACAGTCCAACTCAAACCCTTCTGTGCTGTAATCAAGAGTCCAGATTTTTTCTGTAAGTTGTTCATATACAGTGTTTTTCAAAGTAAGGGGGCTGAGACCCCCTGGTGGGCCCCCTGGTGGGCCACCAGGGGGCGCTAGAGGGCCCCAGAAAGCTCGAGAAAAGATTTTAAAAAAAGCAAAAATTAAAAAATAGTAATAATAATAATAATAACAATTGCCCACTAGGACAATCTGTATCTGTTATTTCCAGATAAACACTCTTAAGAGAGAGGGGTTAGATTTCTTTAGTTTTGTTCTTCTGGTGAACAGTTTGTTGAAAAGTTGTTGTTTTTTCAGTGTTTAAAACATGTTAGTTAACATTTTTATGCTCAGTAGCTGTAATAATTAATTGAAAATAGTGAATAAAAGTTAAAACGTTCAAAAAGTTGATGTTTCTTTACATGTTTTGTAGCATTGTTTGTGGGTTTGCGAGGGGGGGCCTCGGCCAGAAGCTAATGCTGTGTGGGGGTCACGGCATGGAAAAGTTTGGGAACCCCTGGTCTAAGACACTGGTTCCCAACGTTGGGGTCAGGACTGAACTTTGTGCCACAAAACACCAATTAGTTATTTTTATTGGCCTACATTATTATGTTATGTTTTTAATTTTACTTTATTTGTGGGTGTACACAGGCTTATGTCTTATGTAATGTTCTCATTTTTACTTTATTTTTACTTTATTTTACTTTACTACTATTCGCACCTTATGTCGAAGCAAATTCCTAGTTTGTGAACCTCGTTCATTGACATGGCGATAATAAACTGATTCTGATTCTGACATGTTTATATGGTTCGTTCTGCCACAGTTGAGTCTCTTCCACTGTTAAGTGTAGCAATAGCTTTAAAGTTTGGAAAACATTGAACTTTTTTATTTGGATTTAACATTATGTTATAACCATCAGGGATTCACCTCCTCCATAAGTGGTTCTCCAACCTCCTCGCACCAATCCAGCTTCCTTAAGTGCCAACAGGTACCTGAAAATTTTACAAACAACAAACTGAAGCAAAATCCGTTTCATGAAAGCAAAGAATGAGTCGATGATAACAAGAACATGTATACGTACCATCAAGCCCAACAGCATCCAGCATGGCTTTGAGACACTGTAACAACAATTTAAACAACTTTTTAGAGACGTAATTAAGATTCTCAAGTGAATATATTGTAAATAGCTTCCAAAATAAATACATTATTTTTAATTTTCTCACGTCTTTGACAGTGCAAGTTTTCTCCACAATAATGTCCATCTCCATGCCAGCAGAGGGAGCAGAACCCACAGTGAAGTGCAAGAACAGCTGCGATGAAGACATTAAAAAAAAAACTCAAAACTTTTATCAGTCCTTGATTCGTTTTACAGGTTCTGCAGCTTTCATCGTTGCAGCTGCAAGAGAAGACGTCACTGAAGAAAAAGGCACACCTGTGATTGCTTGGGGCCATTTCCTCGACACAGAGTCAGCGTGGTCATGAGTCGCACTCCTGCGTCCCGAACACTCAGCTCCTCACACACTGACAGAACACCAGCAGAACACATCACAAGTGCACTTAAAAAAAACTGATTCAAGACTTCAAAGACAGATGACTGGAAGGAAAATTGCAAGATAAGACGGGGAGCGTTTATTAAACATTTACAGGAGGGCAGTGTAAAAAAAATAAAGTTTGACATTCTGCCAAAACGAGGGGGACTTCCAGCTCTTAAGTAATGTGGGCTGCTGAAATCGACCCCAGGCAGGAAATGATACAGTACCTGGAGGAAGGAGTTTCCCTGCGCAGTCCACCTGCCTCAGACAGTACGGTACACCTGGTCACAGCACAAAGAAACAGACATTTTTAAAGAGTTATAAAGCCCACTGAAACATTAGAACACTATAAAAACAGTGAAACTGAAGGACAAGCGTGTGTTGCCCACCACAGTTTTAGACCAACATCATGGTTAAATTTTAATATGAGACATCTTATAAGACTTGTTGACTCGGCTAGTACTACATTAAACTCAACATCTTCACAATAGCCTGAGTTATAACGTATTCAGTGCTGGTTCAAGTCAAACAGCTGTGGCAGCCATCTTACACTGGGTGACTCCAAAAGAAAATGAGATCCATCAGTTACCATCCGAGTCTCATTAAAATCGGTCCAGTCGTTCACGAGACGGTTTTCTAACAGACAAACAGGACTGACTCCAGTTTTAAGTAAATATATCAGGTAACATGTGATGTATGTGTTGTGATTCAGTCTCAGCTACTACCACACCCAGTTCTAACCAAATATCTGTAAAACTGACTGATTTAAAGCCATTTGTGTTTTTGAATGATCAGATAGTTGTGGCAGCCATCTTCAATTGGGCGACTACAAAAGTTAATCAGTAGATGCCAACGATTAGTTTTTAAAAACTTCTATCCATCCATCATCTTCCACCTGTTCTGAAGTCAGGTCTCGGGGGCAGCAGCTTGAGCAGGGAGGTCCAGACATCTCTCTCCACCTCTTCCAGCTCTTCTGGGAGGACTCCAAGGTGTTCCCAGACCAACCCAGAGACAGTCTCTCCAGCTTGTCCTGGGTCTTCCCCGGGGTCTCCTCCCAGTCGGACATGCCTGAAGCACCTCCCTAGGGAGGCGCCCAGGAAGCATCCTTACCAGAGCTCATGACCAGAGGTGAGGGCAGGAACGTAGACCTACTGGTAAACAGCCTTACAGCTCCGCTCTCTCTTTACCACAATGGACCGGCACAGAGTCCACAATACTGCAGAGTGCAGACACTGCACCAATCCGTCTGTCAATCTCACGCTCCATTCTTCCCTCACTCATGATCAAAACATTTCATTAAAACATTTATGTCCTTTTATCTTGGACAGAAGGCGACAGCATTCTGAATAACTTTCACGTGAAGAATAAAAATCTCTTGGTAAATGGACTGTATTTATATAGCTCCTTTCTATCTTATTTCAAGATACTCAAAGCGCTTTACAATCTGTGTCCTCATTTACTCATTCATACAGCTCTAATTGAACAAATCATTCTAAAGAGACTAATCAGAGCTTTAGATCACATTCATACACTGATGGGACACACATCAGAGGCTATGAGGGGTTCAGTGTCTTGCCCAGGGACACTTCAGCATGTGACTGCTGGTGGATTCAAACCCCCAACTCTCGCATTGGAGGACGACTGCTCTAACCACTCAGCCACAGCCGCCCCGTAATCAATTAGTTATAACTGAGTGACCAAAAGTGACATAAAAATACTTTTAACAGCTTGGAGACAGTTTGATCACACAGGGAGGATATGCAAACTTTTTTAAATGTTTTACACTTTTCTCCAATATTTTACTTAAACTGATATTTTCCCCTCATTAATCTTCATGTTTTGAAATAAAGCAATAATCATTTTGGGGGTTATCACATTTGCAAATGAGCCGTGTTGAACTCTTCACACAACACTGATGTAAATCCCGTTAAAATGGTTAGAAGATGAAGAGTGGTGGCCTTTTAAGATCTAACGTTTGTTAAATACAAACCTTCTCAAGAAAATACAGATGTACAGTAAATCAAACACAGACAAACCCATAAATTAGATTAGTTGAACAACGTTTATGATGTTCTACGTTTACGAGTGCCTCTGCTGCTGCAGTGCTATAATTATGGATCAATCTGAGCATCTTGCCTGAAGGTTGCTCCTGCAGCTGCAGCTCCTCCAAGGCTCTCTGCTTCACTTCACACAGAAGCTGTGCAGAGAGAAATTAAAGAGCCACAAGTTATTCTGGTAAGGAACAGAACGGTTCAGATTAAAAAGATAAACGGACAATAAAAACAACAAGATGTAAATTACTGACCATACTCCCTGTGGCTGAAACTTTGACTCTCTTCCTCTCCTCGTCCGTTTCCTCTTCACCTCCTCTTAATTGTGGTTGAAACTCCACCTGGAGCCAGCGGCAGTCTGACGGCGTGGTCACGGTGACGACATCTCCGTTCCTGGTGAACACGCTGAACCCCGTCACGGAAACTCGTTAGGAACAAACAGGAAACCCTCCAAACCAACAGAGCGCCGCTGAGCTCACCTGCTGTCAAACAAGTCCGGCTGCAACACCAGCAGGGCGTCTCCATCTTTCAGCGACAGCTCCTTTAGAGTCCGATGCATGTCGTCAGGGGGGAACACTTTCCACCCGCTCGCGCCCCCTCCCTCTCCCGCCCCCTGCTCCTGTCTCTTTCTGTCTTTATGCTCCTGGCAGAGCAGACTCTCCTTATGCTCCCCGAGCGCCTCCCTCACCTCCCCGAGGGTCGCACCACCTGCAAACCCTCTTGCTTCCCTTTTAAGTCCTGGACCCCCGTTTTCAAAGTCCTCCCCGTTTTTGTCGCAGTCGATCCCGTTTTGCGCCTCATCTTCCCCCAAAGAGGGACGAACGACAGTCAGCAACACTGGTTCCCACTCGGCTCCAGTTTGGACGGTAGCGCCACAAACCTGAAGAGGATTATTTAACAAAATAAATAAATATATGCAAGATTGAAATCATGCAGAGAAAACACAAACATGAGAGTTGCATGAAGTCTTTCCTTACATCTTTACCGTTCCACACGAACAGGTCAGTGTTGGTGACGATCCCTGCACTGTACAGGGACACGCTGTCGTCTGCAAAGAAAATACATTTAATTGATCTTTTTTTTCTGATAATGCGTTAAATTTGAGCTCGTTGTCTGAAAAACTGAACAAGTTACAGGGTAGCTTGTTTTCGCTAGCGTAAATTAGCTGTGGCAGCCATCTTGAATAGGGTTGCCTCCAAAAGTTTATCCGTTGTAGATGTACATTAAAATGGTATTTGTTGAGATTCATTAAAATCTATCCACTTTTTATGAGTTATTCTGATAACAAACAAACATTATTGGCTGCCTTTTTGTGGGCAATAAAAAGAGCAATAAGTGTCTAACCTGTGAGGGTATTGTAGAGGTGTAGACCTGCAGGAAGGCTCTTGGCCACAGTCAGAGCCATGTCTCCTTCCCAGAGCTCCTGCATCTACATGTGTGAACAACAAACTTAACCTTCTGTAATTATCAGGATATTACGAGAGTTTTCAGAATAATACCTGATACAGAGTGATGCGTAGATCTCCTACATTCCTCCTCCGGTCAAAGCTCAAGGTAGTGATTGCACTTGGTTGTTGGCTGACGGGCTGCAGGGCTCCATTTACCAGCCTGTAGGAAGGTGCCAGGTGCAAACACAGCTCCACCGTGTTATTACTGGCTTCAAACACCTCACTGGAATAGAAAAAACAAGTGAACTTTTCTGGGTTTTGTTGAGGTTTACCAACCCCTGACTAAACTTTGACTCAGAGTCAGATCACACTGAGCAGCTGTAAATAAAATAACTATAATAAAACCAACACTCGTTTCTTTACCGCATCTGCTGCAGCTTGATGTTCTCATCCTGAGCCATCTGGATGAGATGAGAAGGAACTTTGTACTGGGGATTATTCAGAGCTAGGAAAAAAGGAAAAACACTAGACATGTATACTAGATTACAAACTAAAAACATGACGTAGCAACAGATGCTGAAACTAGAAACGAGCTGTGAAATTCAGGTCAGCTTCCTTCATCCGTGTCCTGATGCTGCTCAGTAGTTCAGGTGGATAAATCTAACAAGGTTGAGTCAGGTCCTCTGGACTGAAGAAGTCTTTGGGATAAAAGACAAATGGTTTCAACAAAGAAGAATCCATCCAGAGGACCTGACTTAACTTTGTTAATAATTCATCAGTATTGTTGACAAAAGCTCTTTAACCACTAAGCTCTTTGTTCATCACTTCAACAAGTGAATTCACCTTTCCCCTTTCACCCTTCAGCTCCATTTAACAGAAGTTATTTTTCCATTACAAAGACATAATACTAATATATTTTCAAAAAACAGTATGCTTTACCTTCATTTGGCCTGTGCAGCTGTGTTTTTCTGTAGAACAGCATGTAGGCGCTCTCTTTGCCCTGGAACTGCTTCTCTATGTCCGACTCCCTGATGGAGGTCACAGTGGAGTCGTTCAGGTCAAACCAGTGGCTGCCCTGCTGACAGACAGGAGGAGGATTCGTGAGAAGACGGGCAGAAACACTGATCTCAAGATGTCCATCAAAAATCAGGATTAGGGAAAAAAAAATTAATAAATAAAACTGCGAATGAATGTGGGACGGTGGCACAGTTGGTAGAGTTGCTGCCCTCAGCGAGAAGGCTGCCGGTTCAAATTCCGGCCCGGGACCTTTCTGGGTGGAGTTTGCATGTTCTCTCCGTGCATGCGTGGGGTTTCTCCGGGGTACTCCAGTTTCCTCCCACAAACCAAAAGCACGCATGTTAGACTGACTGGCAACTCTAAATTGTCTCTAGGTGAGAGAGTGAATGGTTGTTTGTCTGTATGTGTCCCTGTGATGGACTGGACACCTGTCCTAGGTGCCCCCCACCTCTCATACAGTGATAGATGGACATGGGCATCAGTGATCCATGTGATCCAGGAAGGAAGGAAGGATGGATGTGATCCAGGAAGGAAGGAAGGATGGATGTGATCCAGGAAGGAAGGAAG